TTTTCTCAGTTTGGGACAAGAAAAATATTCTGCTTGTGCTGCAACAACTGCCACCTTTGATTAAAGAAAATTAAAAACCCTGTGTGCACTCTAATGAATTCTCATGTGTCATATTCCTAGGACATCAAAAGAAGTATTTTGGCATTTATTAATGCAAGCCAGCACACTAATTTTGTCCGCCTACCTATCCAAATTCTCAAATTTCCTTTTGAACCTACAACTAATTGTCTGAGACCTTTCATAAATAAAGCAAACAGAAAAGCCTGTGCGTGAGACTTCAGGCAAGCATGCATACGTATGTGTCTGTGTGCGTGCGTGTGCATGTGTTAGTGTGTGCATCCTCATATTTTGTAGAGGGCAAGGTTAGTGAAAAGAATCAAAAGCATGCAACTCTTCAATTTCCTTCGCATATTTTCAGAAAGACTAAAAGAAATCCGCTTAAAAAACAGTTCTGGAATTTAAGCTATGGACAATAAAGAAGAGAATTCCCTGGATTTATATCTGAGATCTAAGTAAGCTCCAAACTTGATTATAACACAATATAAATGCAGATGTGACAATGCATTCCTTTAAAAAAAAAAAAAACACCACAAATGCACATCAAGTCCCTTTGGGTTTTGATGCACCAGAGAGCAGCTTTTCATCTTAGGCTTCCAAATAGTTGCCCATACCACTGTGAATCGAGTCACAATTCTCTTCTTACACATACATGTTCAACCAGAAACATTCAGATGTTCAAGCATAAAAAAATCGCACAAAACCAAACAACCCAGCAACACCACAACAATATGCACCTGGCTGGAATAGATTACTACCCTGAAATCAACAAACTACAGTCTTTTTAAATACTGTACCTTGTTATTTCTTCTTTAAGTTTACACGGATCCTCTGCATAGAATTTAATGCCAAAATACAGAGTGTATGGTGGTCCAGCTGAGAAGAAAAAATATTTGGTGCAACAGTTAGTTGTTACAAATCATTAACTGTTATGAATTGTTACTAGTTGACTACAAGACAGCTACTAAGGAGCCTATCTTAAGATTTTCAGAAACTTGAAAGTTTCAGAAAAAAAATCTTATATCCACACAGCAAATCCGTACATCTATGCTCATTACACAAGAAAGAAAAAAAAAAGGGGGGGATTTTTATCATTTTTCTAGTCTTGTGTCTTGTGTTTATTTATTTTCTAGTCTTGTGTTTATTTATTCACAGCTTGTTTGTCTACTTGTTTTTGCTTATTTTGAAGATTTAATTTCAGATTTCATTGCTAACTTACAATTTCTCCAAGTTTTTTTTGATTCTGACCTTCACATACTTTTTCCACCAAAACTTTTCAAAAAATGTAATTGTGCATGAAATGTGATTCCCTGTCATAACTAAAAATACTGAAGAGTAATCCCTTCCAGACTTTCAAATATCTTAGGGAGCAACTTAAACAATGTGCCGCTTTAATTAAGAGATATTTGGAAAAGCTTTTCTAATTCACTTTTTACAAATGTTACTGTCCCAAAAGATTCAGTAAAATCAGCACCAAAATTCTTACAGCTGCATTTATTCCACGCACTTTCACAACTTTTTATAGCAGGTCTCCAAATACTTAAGTAAAATAATCTCATCACGTTTTTTAAGTACAATAATAAAAACAGATCTTGCATCTGTGATATCTGAAAAGTGACAGTAACAGCACACACTCTATTATCAGTAAAAGGCACTACTTTTACTTTCAGAAGCAAAAAAGAATCTAAGTTGGTTATGGTATGGTACAGTATGATAGCTGTATCACAGCTACTGTAAAATTAATTATCAGAGTTAAGAATAGCACTATTTATTATTCTAAAATAAAATTTAAGCACAGAGAAATCCAGACAATAATCACATAAATTACTGGAAACCAACGGTATGTTCAATCCATGTGTGAAATTTTGATTCCACTATGAACTGCAGTAATTAACTTGTTCAAGAACTATCAATCTGCTGTGACTGGATTATAAACATTGTATATATGGAACACTGCCTCTGTTACTTCATCTTCAGAAATATTCTTTAAGTTCAAATTAAATACATACTGTTTATCAATTCTTTATGTTCAGCAAGGGTCTTTGCAGGATCCAGCCAGTACTGTGAGACAGACAATTATGGAAATTAGTCACTTAACATGCAAAATGAATACAGAACAACTGCGATTCTATATTTATTCATATATTGATATTTATTAGCAGACTGACACACTCCAGTCTGCTAATGACAAACTTGCGCCAGTTTCAGATCAGAGAAACACAGACTGTAGAAGTCTAATGTTGCGTATTTTCCCTGGGTGTAGGGGGTCTTCCTAAAAGCAAATCTGTGTGGTATGAGCCACCACATCTCAGGCTCGTGACAAGCCAGCTCCAGAGAAGTATCATGCTAAATACCTGTTGGCATCCCCTTGATCTGCTATAGCTAGTATATGGGTGTGCAACCTTGCTGTTTTCTTCCTGGGAGATCAACCTAAGCAGGATAATTCTAAATAACAGCTACAACAAAGCATGTAAGACATGACCTACAAGGAAAAAATGAAGGGACTTTGCTTATTTTCTGAAAAACAAAAGACTGTAGGGGGTAACATGCACAACAGCACTCCTCCAATAACACCTGAGAAATTGCTGTAAGAACAGAGTGATCAATTCTTCTTCATGCCCACTAAGTACAAAGGATTTGGCTTAACTATAAGCAAAGAAAAATTAGTTTAGATTTTCAGATACAGTTTCTAGTATCAGGGGGAGTGGATGACTAGAAATTGACACCAAGGTAGAGAGGGCACAAACTCTTCCACCAGATGGTTTTTAGAGGACTAGCTGGACCAATGTGTCAGAGATGATGAAGGTATGCTTAGCACGCCACAGAGGGGTGAACCATTACGTGGGTTCCCGTACCGTTTGATCAACAGACAATCTGCAGTATAATTTCCCATTGATTATTCTGCCCCACCTTTATCAAACTTCCAATAAACGTTATTCTGATGTTACTGCTGACCACAGACCAGCCGTGTACTTCTAATTACAGGTACGTAGGTCACCAGCAACCTGCTCTTGTAATCCCTCCAGCAGCTTACTTCTTCCTTAGCTTGATATATCTATGATTCAGTTTTGGACGAAAGTGTAGAGGCAGCTGCCAAGACCATTCTTGTCTTCCTTTTTTCCAATCCTCTTCCCTCATACACGAACTTTTTGGACCAGCTGAGATTGGCACCCCTTCTTAAAACACTAGAAACAAAAATGCTGCAGAACACAGCTGCTATAAAGACCAAATTGAGGCAGATGGAATCTACATCCCTAGTACCCACACCTTTTTTAACTGAGGAATTACACAGACCAATGAATAAAGAAACTCCTTACCTGCACCCTTGAACTAACCCTACAGAGATTAAGAATAAAATGATTAATCAAAAAATCCCTCTCTATATCCAGAGTACTCCTCCGGACTACAGAATTTCACTATTAGAAGGAATAGTGTGAAAAAGGGAGGGAAAAACACTACAAAGCATTTGAGTGGAAAATGTCAAGCAACTAATTTAATAAGTGGTTGTAAACAACTATCATTATTTTGACAAAACATGAAAACAAACTACTTCCATTAGCTGCTGATCCACCTGCAATAGAAACAGCTGTATGCCTTGTTCTTGGCCATTGCTATTCCAAATCCGGGAATGGCTGTTAAGAAAATTTCCTAAGTTTTGAAGGAAAAAAATATACACTATATGCTTATATTGAATACATCCAGTAACTATTCAAATACAAACCCTCTTAACCTCAACAGAAGATGGGAAGGAACAAACTTGTCACACTTGTTCAAACATCCTACTGGAACTCCATACCAGCAACAATCTGAGCTAGCACAACAGGCTGATGAAGAGATTTCAGAGTCAACAGGGGGGAAAAAAGGCAAAATGACTCTATAGTGCACATTCTGGCTATGCAATGTGGTCAGAATGTGGTCTGACCTCTTCCCAAAACTGGTGTCACAGTATGAACAACACATCGTCTCATCAAGCTACCTTGCTTATCACTGACAGCTTTGTGTTACACTGCAAGAGCTTCAGAATCAGGTCAAAACCTATCACAGAATAACTCCTTCATTAAGTCCTCCTGAAGTGAACTGAAACTGGCTTCAAGATAATATTGGTTTATGGTCCTCTTTGCAGTTTAGCTTTATATGCATAGGTAGATCAAGTATTTAAAAAAAAAATAATAATTCATATTGTTGCATCATCATGCAAGTTTGCAAGTCAAGCACAGAACAGCGACAGATTTCTAGTTGCCTCTGCAACCTGAATTCCACCACCTCTTATATTCATGTGATTCACTGGCTGCCGTCAGACAAACCAGAATTGGGCCAGGTCATTCAAGACTGTGTGGACGCTTGTAGACGATACAACCAAAACAGAGTTGCATCAGAAGTCTTAATTGTGCCTAGGCTGTATTTCACTTGCAAGTCAAATTATATTCCTTGTATGGTCTTCTGACGGTAATTTCTAAACCGGGGAGGGGGGAATTCAGAGGGAAAACTGCAAGTTCAGATTCAGAAGGAATCTGAAAAGATGAGAGGGAGCAAAACTGGGGTCTTTGTATCGCTTAACATTTCTTTTCCTTCCCCCAAATGGAGCAAGCAGGAGGAACTGCTCGCTGAGCCCTCACCCCTGTAAGACAGATTGCTGCCATTCCTGCCAGCGAAAAGCAGCACGGGCTGGCAGGAGGAACTGAGGATACCACAGGCATCCAGACCCTGTGCTGCATAGGGGACGTTAAACAGTTCGGCTCAGGAAAGTTTACTGCTGGGACCGAGGGTGGTGGGGAAGAGGCAAGAACCTAGTCTGCCTTCTCATTTCTCCAGTAAGTATTTACCATGGGGCAATGCCACACACCCATGCTTAAAATCACTGTGTAGTTATTTATTATTTCAAAGGCTGCCAAAATTTTCCTGAAGAATGCAAGAGGCAGGGGGAGGAGAGGGAGATTTCTAACATTTTATTTGTAAGCCAGAGATGAATGGAATTTCATGGATAATGAAAAGGCATTTTTCAAGCCAATGTTAGACAATAAAGATGAGAACATTTACAAAACCAAGAACTCCTACAGCAGAGCCCTCTAAGCACACATACACACGCAGACATAATAACGCATATTAGATGCATGCTAAATGTTTGCATATACGTATAAATAGCACTGGGTATAGTTACAGTTTTGAGCTCACAGGTTAAAGTGCCAAGAGAAACGGAACAAAAAAAGCGGAGTGTCTTACTAATCCAACACACTTGCACAGCAGGTGCTGACAACAAACCCTGCACTCGTGAATGCCAAAGTATCGCCAACACACAGGCGCACTCTTTTTATCTGTTTGGCAGCCAGCTTGCCACTTCTCGGTGATTTCCCACCTGTATCTCTCCTGCACAGACAGCAAGGGTTATCTGACTTACGAACAGATCACCGCTAAGGCAAAGAGGTGTAAGGGCCCAGCATACACCCATCCTACTGCAGGTGATAATTTTTGTGAATGTGAAAGGGGAATTTAATATTTACACGAGAAATGGTAAAAAAAATCACAATTTCTAAATAGTGGCATTGATTAATACAGCTATCCAATTACTAAAGTAATGGTGGCTAGTTTACTAATTGTTATTTACAAAGACTATAGAGTATTACTTCAATGCAGTATTTTTTAATCTACCAAGATTGATTATAAATGTACAATTTTACTAAGGGAAATAACTCCTTTTTAATTTTTAGGTAGAAATTATAAAAAAAAAGATGTACAGCATATCTAAGAATAGATGGGCTCTACTGTCCCTTGTACTTTTGCAAATCTGGCTCCCATACGAGCCAGATGTGTAAGGAGCACGCATCCAAGTGCCACACAATATTTCATAGTTAGTCCTTCTAAATGACTGCAAACATTTTTCCACAGATCTGGAATCTTCATTCCTTGAATTTGCATAGGGTTAAACCTGGGTCAAATTCCACGAACCTGTTTGAAACAAAATATTAACTAGGTTAAAGTGTTTGCTGTGGTATCAATCAATGAAGTGTCTGGTGGAGAAAAATCTATCAACTTCAAACTAAATCCTGGGCTGTCTTAATCAGATTCTCACGAAGCTGTATGCATCATGTCATGCATGCCAGTTTTTGTCTACATTTACAACAGGGAAAACCACAACTCTCAACAGAAAACTCAGCATTTTTCAATTATAATCTGCAATTATCAAGGTTTTTCCACAATCTAAGACAACACTAACAATTAGCCTTTTTTGGCAGTTTTATCTGCAAATGTTCAGTGCAAAGAATCTAAATTTGCTAAGGTGAAGACATCCTTATTACCCAAGAAATGTATAAATCATCAGGCAATTCCTACATTAAAAAAACAAAGACGTATGTAATACTTCTGTCTTTTCTTTATTACAACCTGAAGTTATATTGATTACAGTTAGTATCAGAACACCAGTGTGAGTTTCCTGTTGATCCTGGTATACTTCAAAAGCTTAGTCTTACAGTCTTTAACTCACATGACCATCAGCTTTCTCTTGGCTGTTTCAATCCATTAACAATCTTCTAAAATTTCTAGCTTCTAATCAATATTATCAGTCTCCATTTTCCTTTCTCTGGCTATGCCATCTGTTTTAACAAGCACAACAAGTCTTTTTCTTTGCAGATAATTTAGTGTACCATGTTTATGGGCAAATGTCAAATCCATACAAAAACAAAAATCCACACAAAAACAAAAATACAAACTAAGTACAGTTCATCTGTTTTTCTAAGATCTTGAGATCAAAACATACACCACATTATGTGACAGTAATTCCCTACAGAACAGACACTTCTGATTGTAAACAAACCTTTTGCTAAAATCATGCCCTTCTTCCTACAGCTAAGTCACATAGAGCCTGCTCAACCCATTACCCTACCCAATTTGGTTAGTAACCTGCCAATCTTAGCATGCTGCAGTGACTCTATTAACCATGCTGGATGGATCAAGAAAGTATCTATCTTTCAGATACACAAGTTTGCACAGAAGTGATACGTAACTCATGGCACAGGCTTCTGTACTCAGCTTTGCCACTGCTGACCTGATGGACCGCTGCAGCACAGCGATTCACAGTAGAAAATTCAGCTCCACAAGAAACTGAGACCTGGGCTACACAGCCGCAAAAGGTATTGCCATGGGCTACCTCCTACCTGCTGTGCTCTCAGGTCTGTATGTTTAATGCAGGGGAGAAAAAAACACATCTACGCTACACAGTGGATGCATGGTAGAGAGACAGAGCACTGCCCATCTCATGTTAGCTCCATGTCTTGGAGCACTGCACACGTGTTCGCACAGCATTGCTCCTGAACTAACCAGGGCTGAAAAAATTAGCTTGGCTGCAATGCTGAATTAACATGGTGATATGGCTTTCTGTGTTTGTATTTCTCCCCGTAGGGTCCTAAGAGAGTATCAGCACGCTGTCCGCTGTGAATGTAACAGCTCCGATTCGCATTATATCAGATAAGAAAAGATGGGTATTTACATCACAGCCTGTTGTACAACACAGCTTTACGTTAAGCAGGTTTAGAGTGAGAGCTGGGTTAGGGATGGTGAGGGGGCAACCTGACCAGTGCAAGATTGTAAAGTGCAGCCAGGTTTCTGGAATTTTAAAAAAAAAAAAAGAAAAGTTTTTATTATCAACAGACCTTTAAAATTACTTTGGTTGTCTAGCTTTCTGCAATAAGGGAGTTGCAAAATCTTTTTTGTAAGAGAAGCTCTAATAGCATGACTCTTTTCAGCACGCTTTTGTGCTTTGACAAGGGAATGCCTTTGGGCTTCGAAAGTACCCTTTCCCTCATCAAATTCTGCTCAGCTTTTCCTGAGATACTATGCGTTAAAATTGCCATTTCCATTCTCTCTTTTGTGTGCCTCAAGAAAATACTGGCCTCCTGCCAGAACAGTAATTAGCACGACTATCCTGAGGCACACTGGAGATGCCACAAAGGCAGTAGCAAAGGGACGATGCGGGGAGCGCCTGGGAGCCACAGCACAGTGGGAACCATAAGCGAGAGGGACAGGGGACCTGCACAGCCCTCCTAACAGCAAACCCACCCAGCATTTCACCCCTCCTGCACTAAAGGAGATGTACTTGGCTGGGCCGATGTTTTCCCCAAATACTAAAGCAATGAGAGAGTGAAAGACAGGACAGATTTTCCTAAGCCACCTCCAGCTTCCGCAACACAGGTTCTAGTGATTGTGTCTCACCTGAAAATACCAGATGGGTCACAATGTCCCACATTTCTGGCCGATGAGGCGGAAGACAAAAATGCTCTGTCAATCAGGATCCAGCTGACCATCCACACCAAGAAGCATAAAGACGGTCTCAGCTGAGCCTAACTTGAGTGTCTGCAGTCTGTGCAGCAACGCAAGAGGCTCATGTGAAGGGCTAATGATGAGGTACACTGAAAGATTCGGTGGCACTCAAAGAAAACTGGTCTTCCTTTTAAAGTATTTGCACCAAGGTACTCAGGTACTACATTAAAAAGCACCACACAGCTTGTGAACCAAAGCACTCAAAGATCAGGGAATGCTGCTGACAACTTATAGCATTAGTTCAACCCATTTGTTTATTCTGGCGTAGTTTTACATTACAAGATTTTTAATTAATTATTAAATGTTGTATTTTAAAAAAAGTATTCAAGGTACTTTCTGGTTTTCTTTAGAAGTCCTGTCTCGTTCGGAGGACAAGACAGATAAAGCTTACATACTTCATGGCGGAAACATTCTGGCAACCCCTAATCTTCAAGAACTTTAATTTGGAGATTAAAAACTGTCCTTTTAACATGGAGAGTTCAGGGGAACGTGGAATGTCAATAAAGAGAAATTTGTGTAATAAGATCCAATTACTACCCTAGAGACAGCGTCATCCAATTTATACTTTATCCTACTGTTGATGGTCTTCCCAGCATCATCCAGTTCTGTCAATCTGTTTGCTGCATCTAGCTATTCTCTCTCACTTCCTAATTAGTTTGTTAGCTCTTCAGGAAGAGACCATTTTAATGTTATGCATTCATGTGCTGCATAGCACAGTGAAACTCTGTTCACTGATTAGAGCCCTACTGGTACTTCTAAAATAATTATTATACCACCCACATAAGAGGTAGCACACCAACACAGCACTTAAAAGACCACCTGGAAGTGCTGAGGCATGCAAAAGTAATGGGGAAAATAACTAAACAAGTTCTTTCAGACCCTTAACAAAAAATATTTCTTTTGTGACTGGGTTGTATTCTTTAAAACACATAGTTTTGTCCACCCTGCTTTATTCATCATTCAGCTAAATAAGTAGTATGACAAAAAAACTGACAGAGCAAATAGTAAAATATTCCCCACCACAAGCAATGTACTAATAGGTAGCCAAACCTCCAAACACATTTTTCCGTCTGAGACTAACTCAGGAGCATAGTTTTAAAACTAATTAGGTAACCTTTTTCCCCTTCCCTTAGGAAATCTACTGTGGCCAATCCAAAACATATCCAATCCAAAATTCAAATCTAGGCTCCTTGCCAGCTATTACAGGACTAATTCCCACAACAGCCCAGAGAGTTTTAGCCATATTCAGTGGGCAACTGAACGTATGTTTACAGCTAAAGCACAAGGTGTTGTTTGTTGCATGGAAGCTTTCCCTTTACACTGAGCATTCCTAAGAACTTACGAGATTTCACTAAAAATAGCAAGCTAGCAACAATTGTCATAAAAACACGTAAAATGAAACACAGTAGCACAGGTCTACTCATTCATGAACTTTCCAGATAAAACAATAAACTTTTAATTACGCTTATACACAGACCAACAACAGGAACAGGCATTTTCGTAATATTTTGGTGCAACACAGCCCAGGTGCAAAGCCCGCAGCAGAAACTTGGGGCCGGTCACTGTGGCAGCATCTCCATAGTAGAAGGAGGGCAGGTAGACCCCGCAACGTGGCCCAGCATTGTGGTCTCTGGTCGTACCTCCTGGCTACTACCCAGCTGCATGTCAGGGCAGAGCTGATGCCTGCACCGCTCTCCCACACACCTGGGATTTCCCTGAAAAAAAAATAAAAAATCCCGCAGGCGTGTGGGAGACACACAGCATTCCCGTCAGGCGACCGGAACACAAGCAGGCGGCAGAGACGCCTGCCCACCCGTACAGAAGCCAGGAAAAACACGGGAACCTCTCCACGTAGGGAGAGGCTGGAGCTCCACATCCGTGCTAGTGCCAACTGCATCCCCACGGCATGACCGGTGTCGGTGCAACAGCAGACAAATGAGGGAAGGGGGATGACCGCCTTCATAATCCATGGGAAAAACAACAAGAAGCACAGTGGGTTCCTGACTTTGAGCTGGCCAGAGAATAAAGATAGAGGCTAACATTAAATTTACACCACTAGAGCATCATGCGTAAGAAAAAACGCTGTATTTTTATTTGGAGAGGTTGAGTTAATGGGGTTATGGCCTACATACAGCTCATGCGCACTACCTTAACACAAAATGCACTGGTATCATACAATCAAATCATCTAGTCTGTTAGCAGTATGCATCCTAAAATGTGCCTTTATGTGTCAAACCTTCCACAGAACAGATGTAATCTCTTATTTTCATGTTGTCGTATACACTGTTAAATACACAGCGTGTATGCCTCTGGAAATGTACACAGTAACAGCCATTTCTACTTTATTTGCCTCTGCAGGAAAAAGGGAAACACTTTTGAGAGCAAAAAATACATTCACACCTCAATTTCCTCAGGAAGTCAAAAATACTGTTTTTAAGTCTACCTTTAGTTCACAGCTGAATCTGACTTTCATCTGCATGTAATGAAACTTGGTTAGAAGCTTATCAAGGAATTTAATTTATAAACATCTAAACTATGCACAGCAATAAAAATATACTGAGTCGGGCAGTCTGTAGCTCTCAGCAGCAATCACTAGTCTTCTGACAATACTGTTCAGACTTCAGTCTCTACGTGTTCTGCTAAACAGAAGAAATTGGCAAAATTTTAGTCAATTCAATAACTTCTAATTTTTAGATGAAACATGACATCTCTTCAGGTCAGGGTCTTGTGCAGAACACTCAGCACATAGCAGTGACTTTAGAAGCATAACTGCTTGACTTAATTTAACCACAGGCCAGGCGTTATTCCCTTTATAAATTTAAGCTAATATATGAAGACCACCCTATGAATGCAGCGCTGGTCCCACCTGCTGAGCATCCCCTGCTCCTCACCGCTGACTGCAGTAACCCTGCACAGGCCATTTTGCGGGGGCACACCAGACAGCGTGGCCCCAAGCCACTGCCTGCTTCGGGTGAAACATCTCAGCCTGGCTTTGATTTTCTTGCCTATTTAGGACTGTAATCTCCCGGTGGAAAAAGCTCTCAGACGTCTGGTGAGCCCCTGTGAAGGAGGCTCAAGAGAGCACGGCCTCAAGAACACAGAGATGGTTCAGGCGGACTGAGAATGTCATTTGCCAACACCCTGACACCTGGGGCTCTCCCAGTGAACAGGCAGCCACCAAAGCAACCATACCGTACCCTCCAAAACAGGCGTTCAGCAAGTGGTCCAACTGAAGCAGCCTGTGACACCCTGTGGGACATTGCTTCCCAGGCACCACAAGGCCAAGCGAAGCCAGACAGCATAGTGCACTGGCCTCAGGGCACACTATTACAAGGGAAAAAATATTAATCCTGCTTTCATATTATAATTTTGTACTATTCATACTTTCTTCATTTAGTTTTCAACAACATTTTGCATTTGATTCTGTTCCTATCTAAGATATTAACAGCTATTCCAAGACTTTAATGCAAACAAACACAAATAGATTATTACTGGAAACCTGAACCAGGAAAACAGTGAAAGTTAGTGAAAGTATGACAATCTAATGCTCTACAGGCAAACGGCACAAACAGGGTAAATTTTACACATGGAAAATCCAATCTGCTGTGTCTTTTACTTACCGTTTGATGACTTCGGTCACAGTAGCGCAGTCCAAAGTAATCTATCTCCACTAGGTTTAAGTGACGAAATACGTAGCCCAGGACAACCGACCCTTTCGTTGACTTCTGTGGGAAAGAATTTACAGAGCCTTTTCACAAAGATGCTCTGCCTTTGTCAGCTATGTGCAGTGGCATTCATGCATTCAGTTAGCCTTGTCCAAAAAAAAAAAAAAAAAGAGGCAGCTCCCAGTGCCCTTAACAAAAATTTCAGTTGTAGAGAAGAAAATATTTTGTCCTCACACATGCTTAATCAATCACTCTGTAAATACTATTGGGTAGCTGGCAGGTCAATAGTTATGAAATAAAAAATAAACAAACAAAACAACACCTCTCAAGTGTACTTGCGTAAGCACAATGCTGGTTAATGTAGCATTTTTCTAGAAAATGTCTGTTCTGTGATCAAAATTCTAATCCCCGTGACTTATTTTAATTCATAAGTCACACTCTTCTTTTCAGACCAGGCCTGTCACTCAAATTCTGACAACGAAAATCAGGAAGCAAAACTTTGCCCTGAAGATGTAAAATATACATTACTAGCTGCTCTGTTAGCACTCTTTGTAACGAAGGTTAGGTTTTATTTGTTTCCTTTTGAAATATTTTTGATAGTAGAAGTGGGAGCAATCCAACACCCTGAACTGAAATAATCCCGTTGTTTTCTTGAATAGTGCTTCATTAAGGGTCTACGCCAGTATTTGCAAACAATGCTGGGGACAATACTGCAAACAACATTCTACTGTTGAGAATGCATTATAAAAAGCTCACTTCCACCTGAATGCCTCTTATTTGTCGGTTCGCCTGGCAGCCAACAACAAACAGACTAGGAAGACTGAGAATAATTACACAGAATGATCCCCCCTCAGAATCAATTAGAGCCTTTGACTATTACAGTCCTAAATTCCACAAGAAAATATGGACATAACTCATAATTAGGTTTTGGTTAACTGCTTCATATTGTATAACCTGCCAGATTGTAGTAAAATCACTGGAGAGAAAAGAAACAGGAGGAGGAAGCTGTGGGATATTTTTTGTGCTATTTCACTTCTTTTATGAACAAATAATTTCAAAATTAAAATGGCAAATAATCTTGATTAAAAAAAAACATTTAATTTAGCTTTGCTGGTGAAGTATCAATCACATAATGACAGTGAAGATGCATCCATGTTTTTTTTTCAGCAGGTGCATTTGATCAGTGTTTGTGCCTAGTCACACAGGCCGGGCCAATACAACAATTCCGGGTGGCCACTCACACTCTAAGCAAGCCATGACAAGGTAAACATCTCTGGTAGGGTGGGAATTGTGTATCCACACTATTCACTAGATTTACTCTACATTTGCTTAAACCAGGAGGTGTTTTCGAAAGGTTCTCAGTGTGTAACAGTCTAAAGCCATCATACAGATTGTCTGCACTAAGCAACCGTAATTACATATTCCCTCACCATGTACAGTGAGACTTAATGATCACCCACCAAACAAATCAATTTGGGGAAACCATGATTAAGGTAAGCAGAAATTCACTAAATCTCATTTTAGCATTTTGGATAAAGCGAGCAATAGGGTGATTTTATCATCAGACTCCTCAACAAGAATCAGAGCTTCGGTTGTAAGAATGATGCGAGACAAGAGTCAGCCCCTCTTAGCAATAGACTCACTATCAGATGCACTACAGACACAAACAAAACACACCTTTAAAAAATTTTTAAAAAACACGGGTTAAATTATTAGACAGCAGTGATTCAACACTGAAGCAGTAATTGTCCTGCCTCATTTTATCTGTAAATCAGTTGTTATTCAAAGAAGCAAGAGAGATGTCCCACTAAAAAGCACATAGTTATCACTCACACGTCATATAAGGCAAATCACCTTCACCACTGGAACTGTTTGCATTATCATTTAAACAGAACAATGTCTTGGGAACCTAGGACTGGACAGGCATCTCAAGAGACAGACACAGGAAAAGCTCAAAATAAACAAGCAGCCCTGACTCCAAATGACCCATGCAGATAAAGGATGGCAACAATTCCAACTGGGTACTAAATGTTAAAAGAATATTGCAGACAGAAGGAGCTCCACCATTAGCTGCTCAGAGCCACAGGGCTTTGACAGAGTTAACCAAAGTGTGGCTAGCAAACCCTTGCAAAAGCCATAAGAAGGGCTGCCTGCACCGTGGTTTACAGGGGACATGGAGCGGTACCCGTTGAAGGCATACTGAGCTGCTGCGATTGTGAAGCTCAGATCTGTTTGCTTTCAATGAGCTTTCCACTCTTTGCCTGCCCAGTAACGTTATTCATAGCATCAGTTAGTTTTATTAGCAGAACTCAGAAATAGTAATCCAGCAGCAAAGACGGAGCTGTCAATTTTCCATTTGGGCATCTTATAATAATAACACACACTCCTAGGAGTAATCAAAGATAATAACGTAAGAAAGAAGCTTAAGTCTTACAGGAGTTTAACTTACATAACTGTGCACCAGTTTAGGATTCAGCGAGCCTTGCTGAAGTCGCCTTCAGTCAGCTGAGGACTGCAATATGTTCTACGTAAAGAGTCTTTGGGTCAGCTTTCCTCCCAAGCTAGTGTGTTATCCCCAAGAAACGCACACATTTCATACCTGGTTTGGCTGAAATTAAAGATTCCCTTCTTTCCTTTCAGAGATAAATGGTAACAATGCATAAAAAGCTTTTAAACTACTTTTTACTAATACCGCTAGACTGAGAGAAAACATAAATGTTAATTTCTTCTCTTGCCATAGCTCAGTTAACACTTCCATCGCTGCTGGTCCTGCAGAAATAGGTGGTCCAGCTGCAGGGACAGGCTGAGCAAAACCACCCAACTTACAGTTACTGGGGTTTCTCCACCTCTACAGCGGCAAGATACCCAACACTTTGGTTATCCTCAGCCAAAACAGACTGTGTGCAGTAGACTCCGTAGCCCTCCTTGCCAATCCCTCACACCCTTCAGCAATGCCTGCGTGTACACAAGGCAAGGAAAGTTCGCAAGGGAACTGCCCAGATGAGAGCCAGCAGGTAACCCCGCACCCCTCTAACCTCACCTTTCTTAACCTCAGATTTTCCCAGCACTGAGGAGCACTCTTCAGGTACAACACTGACCCTTGCTGAAACCGCTGCAACCTTGTTTTCAATTAAAGTTCTCGTTTTAAGCCACATGATTTCAGGGTTTCATGCAAGTAAATTGCCTCTTCAAGTGGAGTTAAGAAAGCAGTTTTGCTGACGAATCCCTACGTGGCTACTTCTCAGTCCTGAAATACATTTTTACCGCATTTGAAGAAACTTTTGCAAACTAAGAAAAGCCATTTCATTTCCCCTGATAAAATTACAGAACTCAGCAAACCTGCAAACTAAAACTATCAAAGATGTTAACTAAAGGTGTTAACAGGATTACATTCACATCGTGCAGCATTGCAAAAATTACATAATCTGCCTTGCATTAGGCTCAGACTTGCTAAAGGCTTGCATTCTTAGGGGTAAACCCAAGTACATTTGAAAATATCATCAGCAATGCTTTCAAGAGAGAACAAAGAATTGTTCAAATGAGTCATAACATCTTGCTTTACATGTTAGCACTGTGGCTTCATAAACCAGAAAGGCAGGTTTCTACTGGCTAAAGAAAATGACAGCCAGAACATTCAGGAGACATCTGATTTAATTTCATTTTTTTAAAATCAAAATGAAATCATTATTTCAAAATTGGTACATACATTGATATATTTTAACATATGTTACTGTATATTTAGTCACCAGCAATTCTTATTTTCTGCACTGCTCACTGTTTTTTAGCAATAGTGAGTTTTTTTCTAGTTGGTTATTTTTTAATTGTCTCTTTTGTATCGTAGACAGCAGTGCAGGGCCAATCAGATCCATGATCGATGTTAACTGAATTTAAAGACAAAGCAAGACGTGCAGCAATGTCTGACTCAGCAGGGTGCTAGTCTGTCTCTTGAAAGAAAAGTGGTGTAAGTAGTGAAGCCTCTTTTTATTAAAGTAAAAAACACATTGCATCTTTTTGCTCAAACATCCATCGTGAAACCCTTCTCCAATTAAATCCACAGACTCTACCTCTTAAACCTCATAAATGCTATGGAAGATGCATATGAATTCACGAGCCTTCACACAAAAAAAAAAAGGCTTCAAACTTTGGTTGAACACTACCGTTGCCTTTTGAGATGCCTCCCCCCACCACAAGCATTGTTAGAGTCTACTGGAAAGTCACACCTGATGCTGAATTAGTTATTCTGCTTCTATACTGGCAAGAGATAACAATAGGGAACAAGAGCAGAAGGTTTCTCATGCTGAACAAGGGAGTTTATATTAGGACAAATATGGAAGAACAAGGAGGATGCTATGGGGCATGACACGCAATTACGCTGAGACATTCAGAAACACCTGCGTAACACCCCCACATTTCCCTGTCAAGCACAGGGCTGCGTGGGTTACGCTGCTAACAAGCCCTCCAAGCGGGAAACGTGTTTCATCTGCTACCTCTGTGCCAGGCAGCAGCTCGTGCCCCTGCAGTCAGTACACGGGGGGGCTCTGTTCATGCCGGCCATGGACCGGTGGGCACTGGCACGCTCCCCACCGATGCACAGCGAAGGGCAGCGAGAGAGCACAGCTCTTGATGTGCGTGTCAGCACTGCCCCACATGCATCAACTAGCTAGACACCATCAGTACGCTGAGACATACTCCAGACAGTAAACTTCATGCAGTATTTTCAGAGACCCAACTGCAGTATTTTGCCCCAAGTACAGGTTACTAAGGAAAAATGGATATTATGCACAAAAGCAGCGCACAATCATGCAACCGAGGGTGAGCAGAGCCACCAGTTCATCCCATTCCTGGTAGACACGTAACAGAAAAAGGTACCTCCAAACAGCACTTTCTCACGGCTCCTCTTCGTCCACTTTTGCCCCCTACCCCAAGCTCAGAGAACACCAGACACTACCCCAGTTTTCCATCACCTTCCACCCATAAAAGCAGCAAGGTTCTAAAATCAAAGTTATTGGTGGTCTTTACCAACACAGAGCAAGCACCCCTTTTCCCCAAGGCAGTCAACC